TAATGATTTTGCACGAGAAGAAAATGGTAATGCAAACCTTAACATCGCAATTTTCTTCTTTAATATTGCAAGCAATTTTTCAAGCTTACAGCAGCTTTGGCTTCACAGATTTGTTTTATTTTCTGATTTATTTGAAATTTCTATCTATTTTTCGGTTGCTTTTTACAAACAACTAAATGCCACAAATAAATTATTTGGAACAATAGTAACATTTAAGGCGATAAGAAACTTTTAGTAGACTTCCAATTTTTTTCAATAGTGTTGCTATCATGCATGTGACCGCTTTAGGAGGAGCGGATGTAAAGGCGCTAGTCAAATTTAAATTTCTTGGGTACTTATCGCTATCAAAATTGTAGCGATACATATTAGTCGTACATTGCCATCAAATACGTCTGAAGGAAATCTGCGTGCTGACGTGCCTGCCGAACGAAACTGGTCAATTCTAGCCCTAGGCCAAATCCTGTAACACAGCGCGGTACTACGATACAGACCTGACAGCTGCGACGTGCAGTATGGTGCAATGTTCTTGCAACCTGCATATATATATACAGTGGCTCACATTTGTTTTCGGGCACTTGAGTTCTTCAGATTTGTTTGAAAAGATAAGTTATTAAGTATTATGAAATGACTTTTTCTTCCACCGATGCTACTAACCGTCTTTTTTAAAATCCGCTTGTATTAAAAAATTATTTAGAATGTTTTAGGTTTAAAAAAGTAGTTTATTCAAAGCGTTTGAAATTGAACTCGCAGAAGTATTCGGGCACTAGTAAAGAACAGTTTATATTTCATTAAACTTTTCATTCGCTCTGGTATGGATTTAAATAACTTTCCGTATAAGAATGTACCATTTGGTTCAATTTCTCCGTAAGAACTGCTTTTAGAGGAGCTTTCTAAGAAATGTACCGTTTCCTTATTCTTTTCTCCAACTCTTTCCAGGCATGTTCCATAGAATTTAAGTCCGAAGAATCTGGGTCATTTCAGAAAAGTTGTATAATAATAACCACTTATGAACAAAGTTATGATATGTTAGAAAAAAGGAAACACAGAAGTCTTCTGTTGCTCAACATTGTTGGTCCGAAAACCACACTTTCAATTTTCCTGCTGCCAAAATTATTCAAAAAACATCTTCCATTGGAGAACTGGATTTTCTAGAGGCATTTCACATTCATAAAAATCTTTCTGTTCTAGTTAACGATCCTAATTCCAATCCAAATTTGCCTTCGGCCTTTAAAGAAATTATGTTTTAGTTCTGGTTTCACCAACAGATGACGCCACTTGCTTATTCTTGTCTAGGCTTTCTTATCTTATCTAATCATTATTTCTATCTTGTTCATTTGCGGTTTTGCAGCTGAGGATGGTGGTTCGGTAAAACCATCAAAACTAGTCCTGTGAAAATTTTGTAAATATAACGCTGATTTTTGTTGTTTGACTTCTGAATTAGCCCTTATGAACATTTAGGGCTGCATGTTTAGGATCGTTATCCTGATAGAACTTGAATGAATTTTGCTTTTCAATTTTTCTCATATTTGCTTTCAGGTTTCCTTTCAGAAAATTTATATATTTATATTTATTTACATTATTTTCTGTAAACATCAAATTCCTCATCCTAGGGGCAACGAAACATATACAGACAATTATTCCTTCACCCTTGGACTTAACAGTAGGTAGTAGATTTTTTTGGATCCTATTCATCATTTAATTTTCCCCACACAATAATTTGTCCGTCGGACCCAAATGCATCCCGTGTCAGAAAAGTTCCAGGACATTCTTTTAATTTCTGAGTTTGCAGTAGTAAAAGGGAACAGAGGTTGTTTTTATGTTACTTGATATGTATTCTTACTTGACATGGCCAAGGCCATGTTCCCACTCAAACTTATCAGGTGGTAGGGCTGAGCTTAACAACAGACTGTTTGGATTGTTGTCGCATTCGTTAAGGTGACACAAGGATGCTGATTATGAGCAAGGAGTGAGCATTAAGTTCTGCTTTAAGTTCGGAAATATCCCTAGTGAAAAGTGGAATATGATTAAGCAAGCATATGCAGGCGGGGCACTTTCAAGAAATCGCGTTTTCGAGTAGTACGAAAGGTTTCGTGAAGGCAGAGATTCAGTGCAAGACGATCCGAGAGCTGGTCGCCCGTCTATAGCACAATACTGATGGAAACGTGGAGCGTATAAGGCAGTTATTGCAAGAAGACCGTCGTGTAACTGTGCGTATGATGTCAGAAGAACTGAATTTCAATCGTGATGTGTGTCATATGATTTTGCGCGAAGATTTAGGGAAACGGAAACTTAATGCAAGAGTCGTCCCTCACTTACAAACAGATGAACAGAAAGAGGAAAGACGAATTTCTGCTAAACTATTAGATAGAGCCAGACGTGATTCTACATTTTTGTCAAAGATTATTGTGATTTTTTCTTGTTTCCGTGAGTGGAAAGGAAAGCTTCATCAAGATTACTGCAGACATCCAACGGGTTGTGACAAAAGAGCTTGCAAGCATCGCAGTTGAAGATTTCCCTACTTGCTTCCATGACTTCCAGAAATGTTGACTATTGTGTATAGATAGCCAAGGGGACTACTTTGCTAGCAGCTAGAGTAATTACTTGGTAAATTCAATTTTCTATTTTTAACGACCTTTGTCCTGGAACTTTTCTGACAAAGGACGCATATTAAATTTAGACTCGCCTAAAAACATAATATTGTTTCACTAGGTGAATATTTGCTTACCAAGGATTTTTGCCAACGCCAGGAGTATTTTCCTTGCTTTATTTTTGACAAGGGTTTTCCTTCTCTTTGATCACCCGTTGAATCCATGTGCCCTAATAACTCTCGTGACAATTTCGCGAATCGTTTCAGTAGCTTTTATTACAAATCGTTTTTCTAAATCACATTGCAAGTTTTATGATATAAATGTTTCAGTTTTGTTTAATTTTTTTAAAGATAAATCTTCTGTTCCATAGTCTTAGCTTATAATGCGATCCACACTTCAGTGCATTTTGAACAGTTCCAGCCAGTTTTTATCGTTTTAATACACCAAAGATAGCTAAATGTTACGTCAAGAATTTTTTGGATATTTTAAATACTTTGGTCATTTTTAAAATGATTAAAGGTTAAATTTCTAACAGAACTTGTTATTAATTTGTATTGCCTTGCAATGTTCCATTCAGATATGGAACTGTTACTTTTTTTTTTCTGAATTAGTAATGACTTTCAAATGCGGACGATAATACTTGTGATATAGTTGCATTTAAAACAAAACATTATGTCCAGCAAGATCACCTGTCAAAACTTCAAAATAAAGTAGTCTAAATTTGTATATGAATTTCCGATTAACACTTTTTGAATCAACTATTTTATTGCAAAGAATATTTTTACGATAATTATTTTGTATTAAGCAAGGCTCAGAAGAGAGAAGAATCAATATATTGGGTTGAAACATAAAGTAATGGCCATTTTTTTAATTTAAAAATTTTTATTTTAACAAAACAAAAAACAATAAATTAGTCAATAATATCCGAGTTTTTGGATTTTCCCCATAGACCCAAGATGTCGAACTATATAGTCATTTGATTACAACTCATTCGTTCGGCTTATTCTCGAGTGGTTTGACGCGCGTCTTCGTGCAGAAGTTGATTCAAACGCTCTTCATCAAACTCATTTGGTCGTCCGGAACGAGCAGCATCTTCGAGGTCGAAATTTCTGTTTTTGTATTTGGCAAACCAATTTTTTGCAGTTCGTTCAAGAGTTGCACCTTCTCCATACACTTCATAAATCTTTCGGGCAGCTTCTGTAGCATTGGGGCCTCGATTAAACGCAAAAAGAAGAAGGTGTCGAAAATGCTTAATTTTGTCGACTTGGCACTCCATTTTAATGATCTGAAAAATAACAAAATTTAGCTCAGACAAAAAAGTCAAATACGCAATCTTGTAGAGGGAAAAATTCTCTTTCGAATAACATAAAACGTTATGCCAATACATTTTATTTTTACCGCGTAATTTTAAACACAACATAAACGGCCATTACTTATGTTTCAACCCAATATTATAAGAGGATTGAAGTTTGTGTTTCAGTATTTAAAATAAGATCTGTGCAAATAAATTTAAAACATACAAGTGCCCGGAAATATACGTGAGCCACTGTTAGTGTTAGTCTATTGCATTAAATTGCATTTCTATGTATGCTCGTGCGGTCGCGATTGTAAAGCGGAAATCGGATTGCTTCTGTCGTAACTGATGCGGTTCTGATATTTTCGTATTCAATTCGTTGAAACATCCATGATAATGTTAAAAGGCTTGAATCGGAATTTGTTTGCAACATATAACGTAATTCTACTAAAAGAGCATTTTTTAACTTCGTTAATCAATAGGGCAGCTCTTTTAATACCGTTCGTAATTTCTTCAAAACAGAATAAACCTATCGAGTAGTACATTCCTCGAAAGGAAAATGTTTTTAAGCGCACATTTATAATTTTTTTTATCTCTGTGTTCTATTTTCAAAATACTGCAACTTTTGATTTTGAGCTTTCCAAGTTTCTTATTACTATTTTGTGAAATGCAAGTTGTTCTATTCGTATAGCTTAATATTTGTAGTTATTTCAATTTATTTTGTTTCTTGGCATGCTGTTAAAAATTATTTTTATCATTCGACTGAAAGACATTTTGTTACTGATCACGCTTTAGATTACACTCTTATTCTGATCCAAAAACGGATATTGATTGTTTTGATGCAAAATCAGATCTATTTTTACTACATATGTGCCTGTTGAATATGTCTAAACCATTATTCCAAGTATCAGAATGTCTGTACTACATTAATTAATTTTAAAAAATCAGAATTTTCTTCAACTTTTTTAAGATAAGAAAAAAATTTCGTTACTTAAAGATTACTAAATTCAAAGTAAGTTTAGTTTTTTTAATTAAACATTGGTAATTAATAATTAAAATGCAAATTTCATTGATCATAAAGAGCAAAAATTTAGACAGTTGGATTCATTCTATTTCAGGCTACCTGGAAAAACTGACGGGCGCTATTATGGCATCTGGTGATTGGCAACATGTGGAAGGAGCTCAGAAAAAGGCTTTTCTGCAGCGCCTGACCAAACCTATCACATCACTAGTTGTACAGGTTGGTGTAATCATTGTTAGATATGTTTCAAAATAGTTGGCTGATGTTTAATTAATTTTTTTTTTGATAATTTTATTTTTAATTCATACGTTTTCTGGTTATGATTGACCGAAATTTACACTATTATGTTTTACTGTAACTTAAGTTTTTAGATTTCATATCTTAATGATTAGTTAACTTTTGATTTGAACAGAAAAAGGCACTATTTGTTGTACTTTTCACATAAATTATATATTGGTGTTTTCTAAGCATCATTGACTAATTCAGTTACATCGAAAGATTTTCTAGAAAAGAAATAGAATAAAGCGTATTTGAAATTATCCCCAGAAATTAAGTTTAGTGATTATTTTGGCCAACAAGTAAATCTGTCAACGCAGGTGAGTAGATATCGATAACCGTCAGATGGTGGCAGAGGACCGACGATGTCTATATGAACATGGTCGAATCGTTCAGAGGGCATCACGAGTTTTTCCAAAGGACTCTGTATGTGCCGGGCAACTTTCGAACGTTGGCATATGATGCAGGGATAGTGACGGCCGTTTTCGGAATGTCTGCAGGGTTAACAGGGATTTGATGATAGGCACGGGCTAAATCAAGCGTTGAGAATATGTTCTTTCCTGGAAACATTTGAGTGCAATCCTGAATATGAGGTACGGGATAACGATCCGGAACGATAACGGCGTTTAAGCGACGATAATCCCTGCATGGTCCACCAGTCGCCATTTGCATTACGAACCATATGCAGGGGGCTCGCCCAAGGACTTTTTGAAGGCTGAATGATACCTTTTTATAGCAGAAAGTCAAACTCTTGACGTGCAGCTTGAAGTAATTCTGGAGATAATCTTCTAGATTTTGAGAAAATAGGGGGTCCTTTAGTTTCAATGTGATGGAAAATTGTTGACATTGGTGCTCAAAAGTTTGCGAAGGATTTGTCAAGCTGGGCTAATCGGCAAGAATTTTGTCAAATTTTGAGTTACCCATCAAAATATGAATGCTAGTACTGAGCGGGTTCACATTGGGAAGTCTACCACAAGAATATAGTTTTGTTTGTCCAACAAATAAACGGTTGTTTTTAACATCTATAAGTAAGTTGAACTTCGGGAGAAAGTCAACACCTATGATGAGTTGATTGACGTCTGCAGTACAAAAGGCCAAGTAAATGAGCGACGTAAGTTTAAATTGATGGTCAAAAGTTTGGTGCCATACGTTGCTACTTTTGTGCTGTTAGCAGCAAAGAGTACTAACTCAGCTGGGTTTTTGGCGTGCTGACTGTAACTCTTGGCAATGACAGATAAATCGGCTCCGGTGTCAATTAAAAAGGTGAGTTTTGACGATGGGTCGGCCAAAAGAATTCGATTAATGTGGCGGTCGCAACGTTGGCCCACAAGCGATCGCCGATCTAGTTTTCCGACTGCCAGAAATTGCATGGAGAAACACACTTCTGTGCATTGGAACCAAAATTAGTATGGTAGAAACAAATGTTGTTGCATAATTCTTTATACTGTCGATAGTGTCCACAAGATCTATTACACCTTCTGCTGCGTTGAGAATGATTGTCTCTTCGTTCACAGGAACGCTCACGGCTGTTTATGATGGCTAGCTAAAGTTCATTTACTTGCTTCGCCAGCTCTGCAACTTGCTGTTCAGGTAGATGCCGTAGCAGCACTATTTATATTAGGGAGAGTTGTGAGATCTGTAATTTTATCAGCTACAACTGCGAGTTTTGGGAGATCATCACTTAAGGCAGCAAGAATACACCGACAGCAGCCACAGAGTAACCAGTCCGAAAGAAGAGGGAGAAAGCTGGTAGCGCCCTCTCTTGGGCCAGTGAAGAAATAATAATAATAATAAAGTGTTCTCCACACAACTTTCATAAATAGTTGATTTATTAGTGTAATAAAATCGATCGTAACATTAAATTAATAAGAAACGAAAAAACAGTTACTGGGATCTATGCAAGAAAATCAGAATGCAGTATTAAGAGCAGATTAACAGCTGACACTGGTAATAGCAGTTACTATAAAATGCAAATGAAAAAAGGTACTAAGTGTTAACTTCTAGAACATTTATTAAAAAAAAATCTGAAAGCTTTCAGATTTTACATTATGCCCAAAGGGGCGTTTTTTTAACGTTTTGTGTGTTACCTTAATTTATTAAATATCATGTTCTTCACACTTAAACCATAAAATTCAATTCAGCAGCAATATCACAAAATAATTTTAAAAGAGCATATCTTTAGAATGTCTGATGCAGAGTCTCGCATACTGGAGGTAATTTTTTTTCCGTAGTGTTGCCATTACTCGCTTTGAAATCGTTGAGTTTGTTAATCAAAAAGTCATTAAAGTTTTACAAAATATGAAATAGACAGCGAAATAAATTTAGGATTCCGGCTTCCAGATGCCCATAATTGAGTGAAGGACTACATTATTCAAAACTGTATGTCTCTAGGTTCCGTTGTTTTTTCACAGTGTGAGAAAGATACATACATACATTATGCAGATTCTTCATTATTTAATTTTTGAAATATAATGCAGGGCTCTAATAGTTTGTGGCAACGATTTAAAAAGTTATTCGCCGTTTGCGAATAACCAGCGCAAAATGCCAAAACGAAATTAATAGCCCATCTGGGCCAACTGCCTCTTTGGGCTAATAATAATTGTTGTATACCAGAACAACAACGAAGTATCGAAGTTCATTCAAACATTAGACTCAATTACATGTTATGGCTCTATTGTCATTTCATTTCGTAGTCACGCGCAATGCTAATATTTGACTTCTCATTATAAACATCTTGAACAGTTAACCTATTAAAAATATTATTTATTTTATTATTGAAGCTTAGCATCCATCAAGACTATAAAACAAATTTCTCATAACAGCGTTAACTAGAATCGCGCCGTATTTTTTATTGGCAACTTCTGCTTCTGAAAGGGGGAAGAGAATTTTTTCCCTCACTTCGCGATTAACGTGGACAAAAATGGTTTTACACTTCAGAAACTTTTTTAGTTCGGTAATAAATTTTAAGTCGCTCTTAAGGGACTGAATATGCAGTTTTCGATCCGAAAAGGAATAAAGAAAATGTGGTCCCTATCCATAAGCGAGAAACTGCACAAAAAGTATTTACATAGGGCTCGTTTTTAACCCTTTTGTTTATTTGAATGAATTGTGCTTTGAGCCCTCGCCACATCGATAATGCCACATTGGAAATGATTGAAATGATTGATGATTCGCCCTCGCCACATTTGAAAATGATAAGTATTTCGTAGAACATAAGCAAATATAAACTTTCATCATTAGCTCGCCAAGACAATCACTTTCATAACTGAACAAAAGCATGTATGCTTACTATTATTTTGCATTAGCCAGTTTCTTATAATTTCAACCTTTACTATCACGTCTCCTTTTCTGTTTCCTCATGAGAAATGTAAATTAGTTTGACAGTATTTAAGCTTAATTTTTTTTATTGTAAGACAGAGCGTGTGTCTGCCTCTCGAGGCCACGTTACTAGGATTTGCCAGCTCAGATAAGAATGCAATTATTCGGCTTTGCATTGTAGCTGCCATTTTAACTGTTACGTCGGTTAGAGTTTTGAGCCCGATTTACATCTACTTGTGTAGTCTTTGAGTACTAGTCTACATTTTAATTTAAATTTAACTTTTGCTTTAGTTTCATCACCAAAAGTGGTGGTTGTTTGGTAAGCACAAGTAGCGCTCGTATTTGTAAACTCTGATTTTAATAAAAAGGTTATTTTAACTTTTTCAAGACATTGTAATTCATTTCGGACACAGCGATAATTCTCTCCAAATCTGTTAAGAGTCTGGAACTATGTTATGCTATTAAAGGAAATCAAACTCTGTTACCAAACGATCTGGCATCACGGAGGGTCGTCTTAGAGGTTGAGCATCACCTTTCTAAGTCGGCCACTCCCAAAATACCAAAATCGTAGACAATTCATGTTTTTCTGTGTAAGTGGTCGCGTTTGACAGATGATATTCGATACCAGTGTTCATTTGCGCACTGAGAAATGGTGATGTATGCGTGCATAAATGTGTGTGAACCAACTTGTGGCGACCACCTCTCTAAAGGGACGATTTCACGAAATGTTGTCTTTCAGATGAGGAAGTGAAAAACGTTAATGCAATTAAATGTGAAGGATTTTGTTGAGGAAAACGAAGGGATATAGGGATTGTAAAATGACCTGGTTCTTAATAAAAGAATCAGTTTTAAATGATTTCAATCAGCCTACGCATTTTGAACATAAAATAATAATTAGTATCTACCGACCATTTTAGTCAATTTGTGGAGCAACAAGATGATGCATCCATTTTTAATTAATTCGTGATAATTATTAAATAATTTTTTCTTAAAGATATATGCTTTGTAAAATTTCAGCTGGACAAGAAAATGCTGGAAAAGCTTGCATCTGGCCAAGTAAATGAGACAGACCTTTCTCTACTCAAGAGGTGCTCGAAAAATGGAACAGAATATTCTTGTAAGCATGAAGCATTTATTCATATGAAATATGTGATGAAATTTTGTCAGTTAATATTCTTAAAATCTCTTTTTCATGCCTGCTATGAATGGAAGTGAAGTTCGCTTTTTAAGTTATACAGGGTATTTTAGAAACAAAACCGTCGCTTTAACTTTTAAATTTAGTACAAGACTCTCATTCAGGAGAAAATTTTTCTCAAGGTAAGAAGTTCACAGTTTAAGGTTAAATTTGTTCGATCTGAGATTTGCAGATTCAAAATGCAGTCAAATCTTTATAGAAGAAATGCCCAAAAGAATTTAGGCATTATCAAAATATGTTAATATCCTTTGATATCTGATTCATTATAAATCTTTTGTTTAAAAATATCATTAAATGTAGTTTTTCTTCTAATAAATTACTCTTAATCACAGCAATGTGTACTTGAGCAACGCGTTTTTCAGAAATCCACAGGGATAAACTTCAGTATATTTTAGCTATAATGTATTATTTAAAATCAAAATTAAAAAATATTTTGTTTGAATTTCAAGAGTATTTTAATATTGATTATAATTATTATTGATATGTTGACTGTTAGTTAAACGTGAGTTCTCATTAATTACCATCCTATTATGTTTCTTAGGGTAAATGTTTAATTTCTTCAGAGACAAAATTTTGAATGTTCGAAAAAGCATTTAATTTTTTGTTATTAATTAAAATAATCGGCAACAATTCAATTAACTGGAGGTAAATATAAAAGGCAATAAAAATACTTGAAAGAAAAAAATAATATTCACATATATGACCATTGAATTTTATTGACAAATTATGGAAGAAAATGTTTCATATATTTTGCGCTTACTGATTATCTACATTTTTCGCTATGCAGAGAGTTCATTTTACGCAACTTTATCATGACTCTGATTTCAAGAAAAAAGCGGTAGAATAAGATATTGTTGCCATAAGAAAAGGTTCCTTTTTTTTAATATATGAGAGATTCTGTATTGAATAGTTCTCCAATAGATTTTTTTTCTGCTCATAATAATTTTAATTTAAAAGCCTAAATTTACACATATTTCAGTACCATTGAAAGGGTTACACTGACTTCATACGAATTTGCATTCAAATACGTTCAAAAAAACATTAGGTCTAACATATCTTTTCTTTTTTGAAACTACTGACTATATAACCTTCTAAGACTTCTTAATTTTGAGCGTTGCATACATATAATGTTATATCGTCAACATATATACACGTATCATGCATTGCATTAAACGCTGCGCTGTTTAATAACCAGTTTTTAATATTTAATTTTCAAATTAATGTTTTTTTAATGTGTAAAGTATTATAGCTCTAAATATATATACAGATCACATTGCCGTATAAAAATAAATTTGACGACTAAATTCCGATCGTGCTTAATCTAGATCAGTGTTTCCCAATCTTTTTTGGACTATGTCCCACTTAAACCTTTCTAAAATCTCCATTAAAAACTAATTTGAACTGAGTAAACGTAGACTAAAACTGAATATTTAAAAATGTATGGCACATTTACCTTACCAGAAGGAAAAAAAACATACTTTTTCATTTGACAAATATCTTAGGAAAATGATGCTTCTAAAAGTGAAATTAATAAAAATTGCCATCTGAATTTACATATAATTTATATTTACAGAATATATGGATTTTTTAAACAACGGAACTTTTACAACAATTTAACGCACTCTTATTTCAAATTAACACCAATGGTGAATGCTGAATGCTACTGATAAACATTGCAGAAACTGAGATCCCGATACTAAGCACTTCACGCCATTCAGAACAAACAGAACGAAATGCTTAGTGCCGGCCCAGTGTAACCGGTAGTTGAACTCTAACGTCTAACATGGCAGAGAGAAGTTGCTTATACTGAAAGTTTACCCAGCTTGAGCAGCGAATGAGAGTAGCCATACGGTTAGTTTAAATTTTGAACGAGTTCATTTACGAATTGCCCCCCCCTTTAACAATCAAATTGCCCTCTTGTGGGGCTTGTGCCCCACCTTGGGAAACACTGATCTAGATGAATGCTTAAAACTTTATACGGAAAGCTGTACGAATAAAAAAGTGTTCAGAGAAATGGTTAGGGAACATTCTTTTTAAAAAACCTCTTAAACTTTTTATTAAAATTGTGATATCACATTTAATAATAAATTTTTATCCAACAGTAGTATGAGGAATATAATGTATAAATTCTGTAAAAGTAAAGTATATATTAAGAACTTCAAAATTTTTAAAGTAAATTTTTACTGTATGTCAGTAGTGTTTTTATTTGAAATGTTAGTTGTAACTTTAAATCTTGAAGCATTTTTGAGAAGTTCGTAATTTTTATGAAGTTAGCAATAATTTCATGAACAGTAATAGAACATTCTAATAGGAGTTTCCTTTCTTTCAACAACGAACACTCTTAAGTGTCATACTGCTTTAATTTCGCAAAAATATTATTTATGAACCCCATTTTCTTTTCTGCAGGTGGCTATCTGTTGGAGATGATTCCATGGTCTGACTCCGCTTTAGGAATCCTGTTACTTCTCGTTTCTCTAGTTCTTCTGTGCTCTTGCCTTGTTGCCATGGTAAAACTTCTACATTCCATGCTCGGGGGTCCGATTGCATCTCTGCTGCGTCGACTCATCAACGCCGAACCTCCATTTCCGTACAGTTTATTCACAGGATACGCTGCTATGGCATTGGGATGCGCCATGACTATCCTAGTTCAGAGCAGTTCTGTTTTTACCTCTGCACTGACGCCTTTAGCAGGCGTCGGGATAGTGTCTCTGGAAAGAATTTATCCTTTGACTTTAGGGTCAAATATAGGGACCACGACAACTGGGTTGCTTGCCGCATTTGCAGCGCCTCCAGCTGCACTGAAAGACACCCTTCAGATAGCTTTCTGCCACTTGTTCTTTAACCTAACGGGTATATTGCTCTTCTACCCCATTCCAGCATGCAGATTACCAATTCCACTGGCGAAGATGCTTGGAACAGTAACTGCAGAATACAGGTGGTTTTCGATATTGTACTTAATTATGATGTTTTTGGCATTACCTGCCGCAGTATTTGCTCTAAGCACGGCTGGCCCCGTTGCTTTTGCCTCGGTGGGTGGACCCATAGTTCTAATACTCGTAACTGTTATTGTTATCAATATTCTACAACGAAAGAGACCTTCCATTCTGCCTCTGAAGTTGAGAGACTGGTCTTTCCTTCCTCTGTGGATGCATTCCTTAGATCCTATGGACAGAGCAATAACGAAGATGTGTTTTTGCTGCAAAAGTTTGCAAGAAGTGCGTAGAGATGCTCCAGTCTTGGGACTCTTGCCGAACCAATCGCAAATGAACATTCTTCAGCCATGTTCCACTTCTTCATCTGCTCTGACCCTGAATTCCACATGCGGTCCAGAATATCATACGATGAATGGATTCGAGAACTGTGCTTTTGGTAATTTGCCTCCCAAGAGGAAGTCATCTGGTAATAACAATAACAATACGCTAGAAAAGGACTGGGATTTCGGAGGTACGACGACATCTTTGTGACGTCAAAGATTGGTATCCCTGTCTAGAAAGTAATTAGTATATGCACTGATATTGAAATGCCACTGAACCTTCCTATAAATTAAAGACAATGAGTTGAACTGGAGCAAGGTTTTGGGTATTATGTTTCCATCATACGAGGATATAATAAAGAGTCTCGGTCCCAAACTAAATTACCCTTGGAGAGAAAGGGCCTCGAAAGCCTTAAAAGCTCTTATATTAATCCTCATTAATCTGATAACTTATTTAAGGTGTCAAGAGAAATTATTTTATTTATTACCAAATAAAATCGTTAGGACGAATAAAAATGTGGTCTGAAGAGTGAATATCTTCGCACAAATATATCAGCTGGTGGCATTTCTTTCATTCTTGAAATCCATTCCAGTTATTGCCACAAAGGTTCTTTCTTATACAGAAGATATTCTCATTGAAGAACCTACAAAACTCACCTAACCACATTATGCCTGTTGCATTTCAGAATGTGAGAAAACAGCAAAAGTATATACTAAAAAAGTGTCTTTCAATTATATTCCAGTATAAATTTATTTAAAGACAGAATAGTGCCATATCCAGTCTCCATCTTCATTGGTGCCCGTGATAAAACATTGTTAAGCATTTCTGTTGTAGGAGCATCTAAGAAAATTGTTCAAAATAAAATGAAATCGAAGAGCAACAGATGTAAAATTAAACAAATAAATAAGTATAAAACTTTTATCCTTCCCTAGTTTTTCTTTAATGTTATTGTTTACTTCAAGAAGCGCACATTATTGCAATGCATATTTATGAAGTAGTAATTAAAGATTTTATAAATTAACATGATAATTTTAAATTGCGTTTTATAATACAGAAAAATTTCATTGTTAATATTAAATTCATCCTGTTTCATCCATCTCTATTTTTCAATTTCAGTGAGTTGAAATATATTTTATGTTATTATTATTATTATCATAACTGACAATAAAGCATATTTTAGAACTAAAGAAAATGGAACATAATTTAAGCTTTTACTATCTTAAGCATAATCTTGCTTATGGTTAAGAGTAATATATAGCAGTATAAATCTTCTAATTTAGAAAAAGTAAATTTCATGTTATACAGTATGCATTGATTGCAAGCAGGGCTTAACTTGAATTGTCGTACTTCCTTGTTTATTTGATACTTTTCTTCTTCCAGATTGGAAATAGCGGCGCCAAATAATCAGTTAAAGAAAACTTTGAAAAGTTTTTTGCAACTTTTGTATTTCTTAAGTTCCAGAACAATATAAAAGTTATTTATTTAAATACTTTTGTAATAAACCACTCTGTTCGCGTTCAAAACGAGAATTTAAAAAGCATTAAAAATCCAAATGTTATTGAATTATAAATCACAGAAAAAATTATCCGACAACCATTTTAACTTTTCTAAAATACAGATATTTATTTAATTCAATTATTATAATAAGAAGAATTCTAAATCTAATTCCTGTTTGTAACGTAAAACCTTTAATGTATACATATATATATATATATATATATATATGTATATCATATTGAAATCAATACGCACATTTTTGTATTCTAACGTACAATGCCAGTTATTAAGGTAGAGTTTCAAATGAAAATAGATCTATTAAAAAGATAAGTATGAACCAAGCTGTTTTAAATAAATATTTGTGCAATGCTATTTTTTTTTAATTGTTGTAATTTTTCTTTCACACTTATACGTATAATCATTGAAAGATCCTAAATGTTGAAGAAAAAATTTGAAGACATATTAAAACGCAGGCTTTCATAATACAGTCGATTCTCGTTAGCTGAGACACATAGAGACAATAGCATTTCGGTCCAGTTGAAGCGATTGTTCTATTTATCCGCAGCTTTATGCATAAAATTTAAAAGAAAAATTCATAAATCTAACATTTTACAAAATCAAATATGATTTATTTAAAGAATTTTTATAACATTTAAGAATTAAATATATGTTGAAAATGATAAAAAAAATTCCAAAGGGTTGCTGCATTTTTTCTGTGATATTGATACATTAATTTTATATTAAATAAATAATGATATCCAATTTTGAAAGCAATAAATAGAAAACATTCCTATTTATATATTGATATATGATCTGTTGCTCTTCGATTGTGGAATTGTGTGTGATATTAAACGAAAAGATGCATGAACAAATTATGAATTTGTTCTGACCTACTGTTGACTGAAAGCTGCAATACGAAAGGACATTTCAATAAGATGGAACATTTTGGTTACATGAGTTGTACAAAGATCGACAAGCTTCCAAATGTGTCAGCAACTGGTAATGAATGGAATGTATGCTGTAAATGTTGTGGAATTCATCGAATATTACATATAGATATGTTAGTAATAGCCTTCAATATTACAAACTGTCAGACTATCCATTCAATTTATTTGCAATAATTACTTATTCTGATGATACCGTATTAGATTGAAATGCAAAGCTTAGTGAATAAGAAGAAATTCTGAAAGTTCTCAAAGAAGTTACAGAAAAGTCAGGGGAAAAAACAAATGAAATGCTTAAGTAAAATTTTTTAATTTGTATTTTCTATTTCTTTCCCATTATTCTAATAAATATATTGCTTTTTATTTATTGACAGATTTCATAAAAATATTTTTATACTGAATAATAAATTATTTGTTTTAAATATTTTTAAATGACTCTTGTACAGATAATAATTTGAGATAATAAGTACGGTTTGTTTTCTAACATTCGTCACCGGATTTCGTTTTGCCAAGATAAAATTCTTGAATTATCTAATACGAAAATATGCAGTATAAGTATAAATATATTACTTTCATCGGCCAAGTCATAGCACTAAAAATGAATCCCTTCTCAATCTGAGCGCACGAAATAAAATAAATATCTCCATTCGCAATATCTGAAACAAATTTGCGTTGTGATTCATCTAATTGATTTCTAAAGTTTGCAATATTGCATATAAAAAAAAAAGATTTGTTTTAAATTTAACTGTATATTTATTTTAAATGTCAACAGATTTATTGCAAAATATGAGAGTTATTTTAAGAAAAAAGGAAGAACGTGAAAAAAGAAGTAAAATTAATGCCAAACAAAAATAATTTACTTTTACTATTAAAACCATCATAGTTCTGAAACTAAGAAAATTTTATTAAAATACCTATTATACGTCTGTGTTACAAAAAATACAAAAATCAGCACTATTACTAAGCTACCTAAAACGCAGCAATTAAAAACAATCGCTTGCCGCTAACTTAATTTAGATTTTACATTCATTGCATTGGGAAAATCCGAGTATTTTTTCCCGGATTAAAATATTAGGGTACAGCGATTAAAATATTTGATTTCTCTACTGGAATAGTCTTAATATTTACAGTGTAATTAAACTATGAAATATCTTTTAAGTAAAAATTTAAGTTTAGGAATGTTATTAAATGTTCTTTTCAATCTTTTAACAAAAATGGATTCTTTTAAGCGTTCTTTATATCTTTAAACAATCATTCAATCTTAAAGAATTATCAGTATTCACTTAAAAGTAAAAACTATCTTTTAATTATTGATTTCATAAAACCGCGTTTTGATAATTATATTTTTAATGAAGATATATCGAGAAGATATGAATGCAAGTGTAAAAAATAACGCGTGGATTCAAGCGCTGATTAGGATAGTACTGTGGTTGATGAAAGTTTTAATACTGAAAAAACATTCAATGTTATAAAAATGTGATGAATATGCTTTTAGAATAAAGAAGTAGTTAAAGAGCTTTTAAATCCCACCTGTTACTGTGATTTATTTAATATTAAGTGTAAAGTGAATACTCATGTGTGCCTATTATGATATAAAAATAGTAGATAGTTACTGAAATATTGATTAAAATTCTTTTGGTGTGTGATTCCAAATATATTCATAAAATTTCTATGCAGAAGTATTAGAGATCACCAGCCATATAAACCATTATGAGTAGTTTTGCAAATATCTTAAATACGAATCTGATGTAAAAAAAAAGTTATATAGATGAATTGCTTAAGTAACGATTTGTTTAATTCAATTTACTATATTTTGCTAAATGCAATCAAAAATGAATCATATAATATATAATGTCTGCTATGCAAATTTAAGGTATTTATGGTCATAATTAATATATATTTTCATACATGCAAAATATGCATTTATCTCTATGGCATCTGTCAATGAACCAACTAGTTAAAAGCATGGTACAAATCAATTGGTGATCTCTGTGTACTGTATACGTGTAATTTAAATCAAAATGTCGGCTATATTTCTTGAATGCTAATCTTAAAAAGAAGATCAATTATATTTAAAATAATGCATTATTTTTGAAGGAAATATAAAGTGTTTATAATTTGAATGAAAAAAGGCCATTATACATTTATAAACTATCTGATGATTGTTATTGTGTGCAAATAATTTGTTATTATTTTAAAATAATTAACTACTGAAATTATGTCATTAAACCCTTCTTTCTTTTTCATTTTTTCTTTTCATTAATTTCGTCAATAATTAAACGAAAATGAATCTCTGTGGAACATGACATTGAGAGCAATTGAAAGCTTGCTCAACGTTTTCTGGTTTCCGAATTTATATTTTTAAACTTTGCAAATTTTAAATGAATGACATGTGTTAATTTTTTGAGTGCATGAAAATAATATGTTATATAGAGTATGTGTACCAATAATATTGACATATACGCCAATATTTTCAAATTTCTTTTTTGAACTGATGCACATTGATGAAGTATAAGAAAGATTTCAACTAACTGACAGGTAACATCACGTCAGACTTAAACATAAGTTCGTTTATTTTTAAAAACAAATCAAAATGTACTAGATAAAGTCGTAATTAAGAAAATATCAGGTAAATTCGTTTTTACATAAAAAAAAAAAATCTGCGAATGCTATGCGTCGCAACACAATTTTGTTTTAGTGCTTAGTTTTGCTCTTCATTATAAACTAGAATTTCAGGCTAGAATTTCTTTTGGTTTATTTAATTATGGAAAAGCACGCGAGGGCTATCTGCCTAAAGGAAGGGATGAATCGTGGAGAAATTTCTAAGTGAAACTGGCTTGTATACACGTTACACATTGGAAAAACCACGAAAATGCCAGCCATTCGCCTTGAATCGAACCCTGGTCGGAACAACCAGTGTTCAGCGACTTTACCGCTCCGCCGTTGGTGGATTTTCAAGCAAAGAAATCATTTGAAGTATGCCTGTAAAACGTTTTCATAATTTCGGTCTTTTTAAGTGTAAATGAGAACAAATGATGAATGCCATACTTTTTTTTCGTTCACAAAATTCGATGCTCGATAAATTTAATATAAATGTCGCAAAACAGAATACTTGCTGCACATTCAGAAATAATTTTGAAACCGGTAAATTTTTAAATGGCAAGCATGCCGCTGGTTTTGAAAATTAGAACACACTTTTATGAGAAGCTTTTTTACATTATATACGTAAAAAAATTATATTGTAATAGATCGAGATCAAGAACTTTAATTTCAGGATTTAAAAAATTAAGCATAAATATCTCCTATAAATTTCTTTTTTATGTAAATATTTAGATTTAAAATTTTAACATTTAATATCTAATGATAGTAAATTTAATAAACATTTTTGATTTAACATTCGAATATTTAGCACAGCAAATTTAAAAGTAAATTATAATTAAATCTGAAATAAAAATTCGATTTACTCTCAGCTTTACATTCTGGCAAAATGATGTTAATTTAAAAGTAAAAAATCATTTGCAGCATAATGAAACAAAATCAAAATTAAGGCAAGACATATTATTAATAATATTTTATACGTTAATTTGTAATTAATTAAAATGTAATTCTTGGCAGCTAAGGAACCTAATCACAATATAATTGCATGTCTTATTAAAAACATGCACTTCTTTTTCTTGCCTTGCTCTAACCACTCATTGTTAGACAATTCTTATTGCAAAAGAGCAGCTATATTTATACAGTTTTGCTTAAAATGCTGTATAATTATATTTTTAAGAAACATTTATCTATTTTCAGAAAGAAATTCTTTCGGCGAAAGATATAAGCACATTTAAGCGGTCCTTTAAAAGTAGGATGCTTATCTTGTGTATATACAATTTCATATTATTTTCTAATGTAGCATTTCTTAATGTCTTTTAAAGATGCGTAGTTTTTTCCGAGTGTTAAAGGTACTTTCATGAAATACATCGATAGATTTTCAACCAATAATCAAATCATGTTTCCAAAGTTTTTACGATTAATTTGCTTGAACTACCTTTTGATGAGTTTTAAAATAATTAAAATCTCTACTTTAGGCTGAAATGTATAAAACTGTGCAACTGAAACTTAAGCAAATAGTATCAGCATTACTGATTTAAATGAAAAATAAAAAGTGTATTTTTTTAAATAATTTCAGGTATTCCACGGTTGTCTAATTGTACAAAATTTTCATGTCGTTTGCATAAATACACCTTTTTTTAAAAAAAATGGAGTAAATTTAAATACATATTACTTATACTGAAAGAATACAAACACCAAAAATGCAAATATTAGATGCGGTTTTTATACTTTGTTTTCTTGGCATTGCTGTTGCAGTAGCAGTGAAACATGTTTTACAGGCTTAAAACAAAACCGAAATTTCCATATAAAATTTTTCAAAAAGAAATAGAATGATATTAATAACGAAGAAATATTCCCTGAAAATTTATGTATTTATGGGAGGATAAAATATCATTAGGTACTTTATTATAATACTGATATTTCAAAATATTTTTGCTATAAAACTAGCTTCTTTTTTATGTAGTCCAAGTGTAAGTGAAAGGGGAAAGGCAGACAATATGACTTTCATTTTATCTCAAAAGAAACAGCGTTGTATCATTATGTTGTTTACCAAGTAATTAAAAGCGCTTGCTAACCAATCTATTGCTCAATAACTTTCTTGGGATCTCGCTACCATAATTGCAACTTATAAAATTGCTCTTGTCAGAAATCTGATTAGTTATAAACATCGCAATTACTATCAACAAGTCGTTAAATCCGCATATTATCCGCATTGACAACTCTATTGATTAACTGCCGCAAAAGCCCGAAACTCAAAAATAGTTCTTCAAACAAAGTTATAGAATCAGAGGGAAAAAAATCACAAGTTCGAAAATACTTTTTGGTTAAAATGGCAGACTGCCCGGCTGAGTTTATATTCTTTGATGATCATATTCTTTATTATGCTTGCTCTCGTTTCATAGCAACACCATTAACATGGCTGCGATCCAGCACTGGATTAACCAGTTCAAGGTCATGATGATTTACTTTGCCAACCATTCATTATATCTTATTTGTTGTTGATATGTTTACAATTTACAATTATATTTCTAAGCAGTTTTCTTGAATATTATTCAAGAATTTAGTTTCTTAATTTTGGAAATATGACGTGTGCAATTGTGAAGATGAATTAGTGTTGCCAATTTACTGATCAATAATTCATGTAGGAAATCACTTCCGGCTTTTATCGATCTGTCTATTGTACACCAATCGAAATGGACTACATAACGATAGTTTTGCCTGTTCTGTGTATTAGAAACCACTTCTAGACTCCTGAGATATAAGCTAAAAACAAATCTTTTAATCCGCTAGGGAAAAATGATTTAATTTAACAAAAATATATTTCGAGCAAAATAGTTTGCCTCATAAAGCATAAGGGTATCATATAAAAACGTTGGTAAATTTAGCATATTAATTTTATCTCTTTTATACAAAACATTTAAGTGAACACAGCAAATGCAGTATACAGTGGTACCTTAGTATACGTTATTAATCCGTTTTAGATCTTTGGACGCATATCAAATGAACTTCTACAATAAGTAAAAAAGAAAAAAGTAATAAATTTCCATAAAAAAACCATTGCTATACTAATTTTAATGCCATTATTATAACACTGTTTAATACTAATTTTAATGCTATTATTATAACACTATTTATATTGCACATAAATGAATCATTGCACATGATACATAATTAATTCATCATGAGTTCATTTTATTATTACATGAATGCGTTTCTGCTATCCAGATCAAAAGCCATTTTTCAACATGCTTTAACGTTTCTGATCTTTCGCAACATTAGCCAGTTTAATAATTTCTTTAATTTTCACAAACGTAGACACCATCTTACTCGGCATATGGTACGAAATAGCCAAGTCCTGAATACATATGCCATTTTTATAATTTTGAAAAACTACTTATTTTTTCCACCTCCATGGTGAGGATAACCATTTTTCTCTTTGTTTGAATCATCTCATTAACTTTTCTAAATTTCATCGTTGATGAATTTAAAGAATGTTTGCGCGAAAAAAAAGGAAAATGACTTGAAAATTCAGCATTATAATGCTGGTTGTTTACTGAATAGTATAGCAGTATACTATTCAGTAAATAATAGTATATCATATAAAGAATAGTATAGCATATAAACAATAGTATAGCATTCAGTATATCAGTATACTATTCAGTGCTGGTTGTTTACTAAATACTATAGCAGTAACCCATGAGCAGTAATATACCTGCATATGAGCAGGTATACTGCTGCTTATGGGCCTTGAAAGAGGTGAACAAATGCAATGCATTCAGTCCTTACTCGTGGAGCTCGAGTAGTATACCAAACAAAATTTTTCGCTTCCAAACAGGACATATACCAAGTTCAACGTATTTCAAAGTATACCGAGATACCACTGTATCATTAAATAGTGAAGTTAATGTCAAGTCTTTCAGTTTCATGATAGAAGTCGTGGTTAATGTTATGTGACTCATTGATCATAATTATGAAAAATGAATGAAAATAATACTTAATTTTTTAAATTTATTCTTCGAAAATATTTTATGACATTAGTTAAAAGTTTTATAATAATAAATCAGTATATTCCCAAAAGATATTACAAAAGCTCAGTAAAATTTTTTGTGTCAAGAGAGGGAATGGTGTAATTTTAATAAAGGTACTTTCACATTGCCATTAGCAACACCACTTTAGAAAAGGCAAAATGTAACACCTACTATACTTTGCCTACTAACCATTCTTTTTATTTATTTTATAAAGTGAAGTTCTTGTATGCCATATATTAAATACCTATATATACACAAACTTTATATTAATATTCGTTCGTATCTTAAGGCAATGGGGATCCGTTCACAGTAGATTTTGCATTCAAGAATATAAATGCAAAATTTATTCATAATTGAAGAAGAGCTTTTTTCATTATTTAACAAAATTTTAACCGTAATTTTTTTTACGTATGCTGGAAATATGTTACACAATTATCCAACACAATTTTCTTTTATAAACAATTATCTATCACATTCTAATTTATGGTTGTTATAGGCCATTTACTAAATGTGACTTTCCTATTTGTCGATTATATATATATGAAATTATATATTCCGCGAAGTGAATCAGAACGGACTATATGTTTTAAATATATTGTGAGGTATATATTTCAAACATTAAATAAAAATACAAAAAGAGAGGAAATAAAATAAATAAAATAATCGGAAAAAATAACGGAATAAATAAAATAATTAAAGGAATTAATAAAAAATATTCGAAAACGATTTTCATACATTAGCAAATAGATAAATTCACATACATGTGAACTAAATTTTATAAAAAAGAATATTATAAATAAATGAAAACAGCGAACACAAAATAGCATACAATAAGGTACCACAAATTTGATACTCCAACATGAAGTAGTAGATATTCAGAAACAGAAATGGACATATTTAAACAAATAATATGGTTATAATAAAACTAACAGAATAACTAATAATAATAGAACTAACAGAAATGGACATATTTAAACAAATAATATGATTTAAACAACACTGGCAGAAATGCAAACCTAAAGAACTTTACCTTAACAGACAATCAGATGCAGTGATGTAGAATTGCATAGCATAAAGGGCATTTTCTACCCTAAAAAGATTAAAGTAGTGTAAAGAATCATTTCGATAATGTCGTACAATTTATGTCTATGTTTATGTCTATGTCATAACACAATTAAGAGGCAATCGGCCTAGTGCGGCCTTTACCAATATATTGTAAGTAGGGTGTCTTTAATGATGAGTTGAATCCAGTAAGATGGAACGTACTTTTTGCACCTAGTGCAGAATCTCTAGAAGAGAAGTAAACGTGCCCCCACGATGTGAGGATCTGCAAAAGTCGTACAATTTATTCTAAAGACGTAACTTTTATACTGTTGCCAAATTTCAACCCTGAAATTAAAACTGACATTGAGAAAAACTGATTCATTTAGAATTTTCAAATTATATCTTGCATCCTCTTCTGACCTTACTTTATTTAAAATATTTAATCTCGCTATGCAGTTAATTATAAAACTCAGTTACCTAAAAACTGAATTAATTGAAAAACTAAGTCATTTAAACTATTCAAATATATTTCTTAGATAACTGCATTTTTATAAAATCAGTAATAGAGAATTTCAGTATTCAGAAGTAAAAGTAAAAAATGGCAACACTGACTCATCTATGGATTTATTATTCACTCTTTTGGATGTGAAAAGTTAATTTTGCAATGAATAAAGTTTTTTATTATTATGTCTATTTTCAATTAATTGAATAACACATTTTTCACATGAACTCATACACTTTTTGTGCTTTAATTCGAAAGGGGTAATTTGTCCAGAAATTGACCTTTTATAACAGGTACTACATTTATTAGCATAACATGTTTTGCTTATTCTCATAGCGTCTATAATAAAATTTTAAAATCTTCAACGAAATTTTTATCAAAGCGTAAAATAATCTTAAATTATCAAATATATTCTATAATGAATCGAAATACTTAGAACTTAGTAACTTTTTTTATTTTACTTTATAGTATGACTTTATGAAATCCCTTGCAATGTTTTCAAATATTAAGATTTTGCAAATTTTAATTTTAACCCCACAATAATAGCTTGCTAATATTATTTTTCTATACAATCACAATTTAAAAATTCGGGACTTAATCCTGGTACATGGTACATACGGGATTTGGCGATATTATGATGAGCAGTATTTATGATGAATAGTAAACGAGACATTTTGGTGTTGGCGACAATTTTCAAAATCGCGCCGAGGGCGTACCGTATACTAGGATTTTACCGAATTCGGTCTTACAGTTTTTGTTGTAAATTCAAGTAGTCATTAGATAAAAAAGTTAATTCATTCAGTTTTGAAAAGTTGAGATGAATTATAGTTACTCTTTGTCAGGAAATATGTACAGAGTATAACGTTTTTTGAGACAAACCAAAGATAAAAATGAACTGTGGTGTCGTCAGGATTCGAGTCACAGATCTAGCTGTCGCACCTTTCACCTTTAATGAAACTAAATTTTTAATATTTGACAGTATTAAGAACATTTTTATTACAAAATATTTCACTATCGTGGCAATTGTGACCAGGTTAGGATGTTAAAATATGACAAACTCACCTAAGAGAAGAGATGTTTTCATGAAGGATTTTCAATGTGAATCTGGCTCGTATTCACGTTATACATGGGAAAAACCATGCTACCAGCCTGTTCATCTGGATTCGAATTACCAGTATCGTCTTAAGAACTCGGACATTGGTTGGACAGTTATTGCGATTATCAAATAGCTATCCGTGAAGAATCGCCTAATTGAAACATTGAATCTTCAACTTCCGCACTTGATCAGGAAATAAAGTAATATAAATTTAATAGCTGTCTCTCTCTGTCTTGTAATAAAGTTGGTGTTATACCACATTTTTGCCATTCATATTTTTGAAATTTTAGCCCTAAAACCCTGTAGAAAAATGCTCTTTATTTCCCCGAAAAAGCTCTTGGAAAATAAATGCAAAATTAAATAAATAAATTCCTATTAATAGACGTAGATGTAATATAATAGAGCTAAACAGTAATAGGTATAAAGAATTATAAACAATAGCCCATTATATTTTCCCTTTGAGAATAAATCTCTTTCCGTTAATTTATATTTAATTCCTATTGCATTTTTGAGTAAGTAAGCTTTTTGCAATAAGTTTACGATCACAGGTATCCACAGATCTTAAAAATTATAATTTTACTTGAGTGCATGTTCTTTCACTCCCTCATAAATGTATTTAAATATTTTCCTTAGAAAAATATTTTTATATATTTCGTCAAAGATTAGGAAAATTATCCCTAAAAATTCCTTTTCTGTTTTTCGAGAAGAGTAAAAATGTCATACAATTTTTTTTTTTACATTTCACTAAATTTAAACGTTCAAAAAAATCCTTTTGTATCGTTATAAAAATAATTAACCTAATAATTAAAAATATTAATTTTCTTATATTTAAACTTAAAATTATTTTCTATATTTCTTACAACATAGAAAAATAAATCCTAAATTGCAGCATGTTTGTAATTAATTTGTAAATTTTTGGGACGCCATTTATTTTGCAAAACTTTCCTATATAAATCTATTTACTTCGCTATCACATTCTGATCTTTACGAAAAATAATCTCTAAATATTTATTTTCTTGTGTTTTGAAAAACATAAAAATGTCATATAGTTGATTATATTCCACGAAATGTTTAAATACGAGAAAAAAATATTTCTGTACCATTGTAAAAAATCATAATAGAAAATGTATTTATTTTCATATGTTTAAATTTTTATGAATTATTTTCCCATATTTCGCATAGTATAGGGGAATAAATTTCTAAATTGTAACATATCTCTGATCATAAAATATACATGCTTTTTTTTAATTACTGGGAATTGGGATTTCCGGTAAGAATCAAAATATTTTTAACTTATCAATGCACTATAGTGTATTTTCAATTTTTAAAAATATCACTCACGTTTTAATAAATGT